CAAATTATATAATTATGCTGAATTCTAATTAATCAAAAATTACTAGAATGTGGGTATAAATTCCAATAATATATAGAATATTAGTGTATTAAATAAAACAATTATCAATAACTAAATACATAATAGAAAGTAAGTAATAATTTCAATTTAGATAATCTAAGTAGGATAATGATTCGTTAAATTAATTGTACAAATTTTTAGATCGTATGTATAGATTATTTAAACAAAAGTTATTTATGGTTTTATTTATAAATAATTGATATTTCGATTAATTATGAATTTCCAGCAAGTAAGTGTAAAATACATATTTTATTAATTGAGTGCTGCAAAGTGAAAACATGCAATTTCGGTTTTTGCGGCTCCGATTTTCAGAAACAGTGATCAAATTCCTGATGAATTATAATAAAATTCTATAATAAATTCTATTTAATGAATCATGTGTCTGATAAGTCGTTTCTATAAAATTGATTTCGGAAAACGCACAACTGCAGGTTTTCCCTTTGCAGCACTCAATTATTATGAATTATAATTATAACTACTTACATCGATTTCTAGGGAGTAAGTATAAAATTTTGATATTATCGTTATTAATTCTTTTAGTTTGAAAAATTTTGTGAATTTTGCAGAACATTAAAAAATTAATCTCTGCTTTCTTAATTTAACATTTTTTTTATATTTAATGTTAAAAATCGTCTACAATAGTGATTTCTTTTTTAATGATCCGCAAATTTCACAAAATTTTGCAAACCGCAATAAACTACTATTATAATGAAATCAAAATATTCTAATCATCTGCATAAATTGCTGCTGTAGGGAGTAAGTGTAAAATTAGTCACTTTTATTAAGTATAAATTTTTAATAGATGCATAATTAATTATATTAATTGTCAGGTCGTACGTATAAGTTTATTGCACTGATTTACTAGTTTTGAGCTCATAATTATAAAATTTTTAATCGATTGTATTAAAATACCAATTTATAGTTTGTGAGTACAATTATAAATATATTATTAAAATTTATAATCAATTATATTTAAATACTCTAAATGATTATCTAAATTGCCAGAAAGTACGTATTCCAATTATTAAATCAGAGTTTCACAATAAATCAATAGCATTCTAATCGATTATATAATTCAGAAAGTAAATATAAATTTTATCATATCATTTATTATTATAAATCAAACTTTGTAATGAATTAATCAACATCCCTTATTATTTTAATTAATATCCAGAATGTGAGTATAAAAAATTCATAAATATTCATTTTAAAAATGAATTTCATAATAAACTCCCAATAAATTTAATTACAGCAAGTGAGTATAAACATTTTAATAATTGCTATAATGGACAAGCAAAATAAAATTTAATAATTATTAATTTCGCAAACTCTAATTAATTGCAAAATCATACTGTAGAACGTAAGTATAATACTAATAAATAGAGCATTATTCACAATTTGCATTTGGCAAAAGAAATTTATAATTGATAAACCTATACAAAGACGAAACTTTGGCGATTAATAAACATTATTTATGTTATTAATTGTGAGGAATAAAGGCTAAAACTGAAATTTGTGATCCTATTTAAATATAACCAAACTCATTTATACTTTTTATTAACGATTTCAATCATAAAAGAGAACTAAATAATTTGCTCCAAAATTTTATATTAAATAGGCCAAATTTCAACATAGGCAAATTTATAACATTATTAATTTTAGCATCAGCCATCCTATATACATTTAAAACATTTATTCATTTGTTAGCTATATTATATTTTTAATTGCTATTAGTTGAGAGTTTTATTGTCAAGATTTCGTCAGAAGTTGAAGGTTCTCATCAAAATGTTATAGTTTTACTATGGATAAGATATTAATTATTTAATATTATTTCTATTGATTTCATAAATTACAGGAAGTGGGTATAAATTTTAAACAATACTTATTTATTAAATCCAATTTTTAGTAAACTAATTAATGTACTAAATAATTACAGCATGCAAGTATAGTTTTCGAGAATATTGGAACAGGGTGAAGCCTGAGTAATGAACTAGAGAAATCTGCTATGTAGATTGGATTAGGATAAAATCTGCATGTTTATTATTACTGTATATAAAAGCAAATTTCACCCTCATATAATAATCATAGCAGATTTTATTAGCTCGCAACTCAGGCTTCACCCTGTTGTAAAATATATTTTTTTGAACATGAAGTATAATATAAATCTAATAAATAATATATAATATAACAACGGCTTGCACTATATAGGTGATTATAGTAATGGAGACGTATGAATTGCCAAAAAATCTTCAAGAGCAATTGAAAAATGCATTAAATGATGTAGAAAAATCACCAGAAATATTAGAACGTCAAGAAATCAGAGAATATTTTCAAGAATATCGTCAAAAAATTGATGATCAACTTATCTATTTTAACGATTTTGATGAAAAAGCTTTGAAAATTGATGATCTTAATCAAATAATCAATTTGGAATTTGAGATTCTTTTTAGCTTCGCTACCTTAAAAACTGGAATTTTTTTACTGGTCAAGAAACTGAAAAATATTGACTTAGAAAATACTTGTCCAAATGAAATTAATTTAACATTTGGAAAAATTGATAAATATTTACCTGAATGGATTAATTGTTGTACTAAAATTACTAACAAATTTAAGGATATTAATGATTTTATTAGTAAGATTGAAGATAGTCACTTTTTCTTTGCGATCCAAGAAGAAATATTAACTAAAGTCAATAAAACAAAAACAAACTTACATCATATGTCTGAAAAAATTGATAAAAACAAGAAGAAATTTTTTCCTAAAAATATTAAAGAAGTAAAAAAAATTAATCAAATTAATTAATTTTTAATACACATTATATTTACATTTTTTTGCTTTAGGTGCAAGATGAAATCTATTTAAACTTTTTTCAAATCATCGGGTTAAAATTAGTATATGATTTGGCTACTAAATTAGAATATACAACAAGTAGATTGAACCTTTTAGATATTCAAAAAATTTCAGGTATTTTTTGTTTATACTTTAATAATAAATATTAAGCCAATTATTCTAATATTTAAATTTTATTAAACTATAGAGTTTTGGGAAAAGTTTTTGGATGAATTGCGATTAAATGAAAAATTATTGAAAAATTTTGAACAAAGTGAATTATATGTCAAAGAATATTGTCTTGATTATGTCGTAGAAAATTTGACGGAAATAGGATGTTCAGTTAATAATTTTTGCAAACAAATTATTGATGAAAGGAATGTAAAAAAATTAGAACACTTTTTATGAGAATGTAAGACAAAGATATAAATCATTCTTTAGAATATAAACCAATATATAAATTACTATATCAAAATATTATCTAAATAAACTTTATTTTTATCAAATATGAATATATAAATATTGCAAAGATTGTGTATGCAGACCATCACGCAGAGTTAAAAT